CTTCAATTATGGTAGAAAAAAATAATAAAACCTATGTTCGCTGACAAAATTGAACCAAAACCACGGCAGTCCATTCTTTTGAAAAGTTTGAAAAAAATACGACCGACCTCCCTGACAATTTATTAAACCGAGACCATTTCGATGCACGCACGGATTACTGGGTTGAAGTCTTTGCTGATTGATTAATATGAACGACCCAAACACCGTCTAAATGGCGAAGTAGATACAAAAAAAGCATACCTGAAAGTGTTACATGCAGGCTCTCGCCAGCTTTGAGCAAAATTCCACAAGAATCGAAGGTAATTGAAAGCTGTTCAGCGTCCTAATAAAACAAAATTCACAATAAACTTAATTCAACAGTCCTGTAACGTTTTACGGTCTTGAGAGTTTGTTTTCGCAAAAGAAAGAAGATGTTGTACCTGAGCCACTGTTGTGACCAGCAACTCGTCACTTCCTCCTGCCATGCGCGCTAAGGCAGAGGAGGCACGTGACTTGAGAGTGAACTGTGATAGGCTTAGTTCTCCATGATGAACACAAAGCTGGAAAACAAACAAAAGAGTCTGAAATAATTCAAAGTGGATACTGAAGGCTAAAATTCACTGGCATTGCAAACACAAACAATGTTTGTATTCTGTAGCGTGAATATGAAACACAACATCGGCGCAAAACTGTGTCTATTTCAACCCTTCTTTATGTTCAGTAAGGCAAAGAAAAAAACTTCACACAAAAAAAAATCATAATATTTTACCTCAGCAGTTCCATCTCTCATTTCTTTATCTCCCTCCTGTTTAAACTGACCCCAAGCAGTGGCAGTGATAAAAAAGCCACAGAAGTCTGACGGATTGATTCGCGGTGCAAACCCAAGGCTGATCAAAGGATTCCCAACCTCGGACAACTTCCAAGTCTGGTAAAAAAAATAATTCAAGAAAAAGTGAAGACTTACGTTCAATCGTGATTTTTTAACCCTTCACACCCTAATCTCAGTATGCATATTCTCTATACAGTTCTCTACAGCTTTCCACAGGCATTGACAAGGAGAATTTGTTTAACAATCAAAAAAGCTTCCTTAGTTGGTAATCATTTCCTTTATTCTCGTGACGTTACTGTTTGATTCAAGGCTGATATTGTATGGAGAAATAAGACGCTAGTCGCTCTTAGGAGTTAAAGGTTTAGGAAGCCACATTTTCAATCCATATCATCTTAATCTTATCAATTTGAGGTCGCAATAATCTTGGTTAGCTCAGCTCAGCTCAGGTGACGTCGAGTCGTGACGTCCTCACTGTTTTATGGAAAATCCCAGAGCAGATAGAAGTGTCCCCCTAGAGTACTTAAAAACTTTTTTAAACAATCATCAAGCAGGAACAAAGTGATTTAGAATTCAAATCGCATGTGCTTCCCTTGTAAATGTCCCCGCTGCAAAGTTAAAACATTAATTAAACCTCGCTCATTGTCTCATAATCATTGCTTCACCGCTGCACGCTCCATGAAAGGGGCACACAAAACCGCCACGCACACGAGCAAAAGCTTACAACACAAGCACTGGATGTCAATATCATAATTAAGAGCTACTGATAGCGAAGTGCTCCTTACCTGACCTGAGGCGAACTCAAAAAAGGTAAAAGCTGCCATCGGGCGAATATAATGGTCGCCACACTCAATCTCGTTCCAAGGACTGCGCCGAGTGCCGTCATACTTTTCACGGGTGTCGGTCAAAACTAAACCAGAAAAGGTGTAATGTGAACAAAAGAATCTTAAACAAAAGGAGATGGGAGGAATGTAAAGTCAAACATCCTGAAATAAGACACCCTATGGATGAACAAACGCACAAACAAAAAAGACAGAGAGACTGTCAATACCATCGAGTGCTGTGCTGACCATTAACTGATTCAAACATAACTGGGCAAATTCGTACTCCAAACTAGTCCAGGCTCCCTTATAAAGCGAAAAAAGAAATATAAAATACATTAGATTTCATCTGAGGACAAACACTTCATCGTTTCAATCTTTGTGTATTCTAAGTTACGAATGCGTTAGCGTGACACTGGTAGAAACGATTGTGTCTCTAATGTGTAGAGTGCTGAGGATGGTAGCCTGCATAGCTAAATCGATCCTCTTCGAGTGAGGATGTTCCCAACGCCAACAGCTCATTGCGTGACAAGAAGATAAAGCAGTTATATAAACGAAGGTTTCTACACCCATTGAAACTGACAAGCACGAATTGGACATAATTTGGATGAAATGCACCACTAACCTCACTACTGTACCGGAAGGGATTTTCTGGAGGCGATCCAGGCCATCGACAAATGTAGAGTCCGGCGTCTCGCTGATCGAAGAACTTCCGGGGATTCTGGTCCGCTGATAGACATAATTAAAATATAACGTTACTTAATCTGACATAAAACGAAATATTTTCATTTGTCATTTTTACTATTGACTTTATATTGACGTGAAGCCACGTCAAAACGTCTTCAAAATATTTTAGGGTTCTATACCTTAAGCCAGGATAAATTTTATTCTAATATTTGAATTAACCGTTAATTATTATGACCATTACTACAATTATTATTAGTATTAATATTGATTTTATCAGTACCACTGTTCAACTGACCAGAAGGATTCATCCTTCATAGCCGTTCTTAAAAATGTCACGCAACACTCCTCTCAGCTCTTCTTCTAGCAGCGTTGCGTGACATTTCAAAGAACGGTTATTAGGAAGACTGCCCATGAATTTTAGCAGACGCACGTCGCGCTAGAAATAAAAGAAAACCTGAACGAGAGAACCATCTTCATCGACTACAATTTGCCATACCTGGATTAAACGAATCCACGTGATTGCTAGAGTAAATGTACTCCAAAGTAGACATGACATGCTCCTTTGGTAAAATATCACCGAGCTGCAAAACATTTGCCCACCACTGGCCAAGCAGACAATCAATGAACGTTCCTAAAAATAAAAATATTTAAGCGTCAAGCCCATTACTTCTGCAATATTGTCACGCAATACTTTCTCACTTCATCCGCCTCACTCAAAATTACACTGGAAAGTCACCCTACCGTCAGCAATTTCCGCTTTCGGATTCTTTGGATCCAGCACCTTCAAAACAATACCAGATACAATTAACACATGGCTGTGATCAATAAATTTTGTACGGGCTTACTTCGTCCGAAGGTGTAAATCTTTCCCCTTTTCACAAAGGAGTCCTTTAAGAACCCCAGATGTGAAACGATGCATTCACTCTCTGATATGACAGATTCAGTAAAGGATGATTATGGGTAACCTAAAAATAATCATATGGAGTCGTCGCTTGATCCTTTCAAACAACTTAAGAAAGTTTTCCCCTTTTCACATTCGCACTTATGGAAGCCGCGCCCGTTCATTCATCACGCGCATGAAAAAAGGATCTCCTTTTGGATGGAGTATCCATGCATAATCCAGATCAGAGGGACTAGGATCAAAGACTCAGTCATTGAAGCGTTAATAGACGGGGTTCGTTCTTCCAAACCGTAGCAAAAACGGTGACGCGTACGTCGCCAACAAAAAAGTACAGTTCACGTATGACTTAGACATAATGAGTTACAGAAAAAAGAAACAAAAGAAGATCAAAGAATTCTGATCAAATTCACTTGCATTCTTTAGAACAAATCCAAATAGATTGCTACCTCGTCCTGATAAAGAGGCTCTGAGCTACGTCATTCTTGGGTCACATTAAGGGCATTGCACACTCAAAAGTTCTTCTGGAGAAAGGGCTCACCTGTGTGTACCATTTTCCGTTTGTGTAACAGGCCTTATCGAGGTTGGCACTTCCCAGTTTGAACCTGGCGGAGTACTCATCAGCAAGTTCCTAGAAGGCCCAAAATAAATAGAAACGTTTAAAGCTGTCCCAGTAAGCGATCTTATCTTAAACGATTGTCGACACCTTTCAAATGCATTAGCTTGCGAACAAGCCATTATCCTGATTAGCGCTTCGACGTGAGTGTCTTTGCCCGCGGGAAATTAAGAGGCCTTGAGAAACGAGAGCCGGCGAAAGTTCCACAAGGGGAGGGGGCGATAAACTTCTCGCTTCCCGACACCTCTCATACTTTCTCGCGGGAAGAGAAACTCGCGTCCGGCAGCGCTAATAATAAAGACCTGCTCGCAAGCTGAAAAGCAAAGCCAGGACTGGCAATAAGTGGGACAAGATTCACTAAACTAGAATCTCCTGGCGATATGGAAGCAAATCAGGTTATTTAACTGTCAAAAATGATTAAATTTTCATGACAATCAGGAGTAACATGTACTCAAGGATTCCTAATGCCTCCCTTTCCAACCTTGCGTTGTTTTTACACTTTTACCCCCAAGATCTGATAGTTAATTCTCCCTTCTAGCTGCGACACATTTCCTTGTAAAATAGTTAAGAGAATTTGGTGTTAAATCAAGATAACAACTTCTTCGTGTTGAGTTTTAGTATTTTCATTACCTGTTTGCTGGATAATATATAGATACGGTGGGGAGAAACTACATGTTAATCACCTCTGGGAGTTACAGGGTTAAACTGGAAATATGGCAAAATGGGAAAAAAAAAACTTTACTGTACCGATTCTTTTTGAAGTTTAGCCATCTCCTCCGCAGCTCTATAATACAATAAGAGGAATAATGGATCAAGGAGGTAAGTTTCTAGAGAAACTGTGATGCTGTGTCGGTGGGAAAGTATGACAGGGTAATTTAGTATTATCATTTGAGTTGATAACATAAATTGGCCACCGTAAAGAGTTTAAAAGCTGACTTTCGAGCGTTAGCCCTTCGTCAGAGCGATCGACGAAGGGCTACTGCTCGAAACGTCAGCTTTTAAACTCTTTACGGTGAAGAATGGATCAGTTTGGGACAAATCTATCGAGCAGCTTTGTAGAGTATCAGTTCATTCAACAGGATGCGATAGAGACACACCTTTATATAGCTAAGTCCTTTCTCTCGAAACAGAAAAATAGCTCAACATTTCATTTCGAGACAAAAATAAATAAAAGACTACAAATTCTCCTGTATTGCTGAATTATTCCGACTGAAAACTCTCGAAAATCTCATTTTAACTTAACTAATTATAATAATGCAAACGTTTCTCACTAATGAGTGTGCAAAGTAGTCTGTGATTGCCATGGGTTTGCTTTATTTTGCACTGTGACTGGTCTAGAAATCTTGCGTGTTCCTCTCAGCCAATCACTTTGCATTAGCTTTGGCGCCAACTTTCTGACCAATCAGAAGCAAAAAAATGCAACCAACAGCGACTTAGACACCCGCGTTTTCCCGCTCTATAGGACGGGTACGCGTGTTTATACTGAGTTTTCATTGGCTCCTTCACAACCTCTTCTTTATTCTGATTGGCTGTAGCGATGATTTTGGTTCCGGTTAATCGACAGTCAGTTGTGAAAATTCTTAACTATTAAAGGTTTTCACACCATCACTAAAACAATGGTGGCTACTTACCGTAATGCACAATGATAAAGACAGCACGTGAAAGTATTCACACCATAGAAACAGGTGTCATAAGTATTGGGCTGGGGGGCACGAATCAAACCTATGAAGACGAAACATCGACAGAGTGAATATTGTCAATAAAGAAACGCATGACAACTTTTAACGAAAAATTCTCAATAGGCCAAAAAATACAACTACAGACAGCGTTTAAAAATATTCTTTACCATCTCCCGAATCTAGTTCCCCCATCCATCGTGCCATGATTTTCTTAACCGCTGGCCATAAACCATCGAACCACTTTTGAGGAGCCCCCTGAAGAACCTGAAATGATGGACAAGAAGGGCCACGGTTGCATTTCTCATGAGCCTTTAGTGATCTGATTTTAGAGATTTGCCAAATATATATTGGCTTATAAATAGACTGAAAGTCGAAACAATAAAATCAAAGATATCCCAGTGACCAATCAGAACAAAGGTTTCCATTGTCATTAACCAATAAGAACTCAAAGTGAATTCAAGCAAACTGCTTGAAGCGCAGGAAACCCGGGTGGCCAGGTCGCGATTTATTTGGAACTTGCATCTGATTCTTTGAGAAGACAGCACGAGTTTTTCTAAACCAATCACAGAGCAAAGTTTACTAAACATAAGCAACCCCGGATGATTTTCGACACTCAGTTTATCTTACTTTAGAGAAGATCGTTTCGTATTTGGTATATTTACCTCCCTGTAGGTTTTCAACACGGTTCCAATTTCGCCATCAACGCATATCGTAGTAGAGGCGGGGTCAACGTCAGTGTAGTTTGGCCAAAAGCTCCACCAGCGTCGAAGCTCAAGAGGCACAGTAGTGCGGCTACAAAAATTATAAAAACAACACTTAAACATATTTAAATTACCAGTGAGCGTTTATGTCCTACCTAACCTCTGAACCGCACTTAAATCAATTCACGCTTCCAAAAGAGTAGGACGCTATTTCTCGCAATTACAACCGCAAAATTTTATTTCTACGTTTTTGTTACGCAAATTTTCTTATTGGCCAGCTCTCCTGCGTCTGGCAATAGGCTACGTGTTTACCCGCGTCTCGGCTGCAAATTCTCCCGCGCTTGGTACCAACTCCAGGTTTTCCCGCGCTTAGCAGCGGCTCCGTCACCTTTTCCCGCGCTTCCGCAAGTCAAGTTACTGCTTCTTACAGACGCTGCATGTTCTCAACTCGATTAATTATTGGTTCGCAATAGTGATGAAGTGCTTTATCTTAAGCAAACCGTACCACGGTATGATGGCATTGGGAGCTATCTGCTCTTTCAGGTCAACCACTCGCATGGTTCTCTCCAAATCAGGGAAACACCTGATAAGAAATAAAAAATTCTTGAGCACTGTTAGAGTAAATTTGACTAAAGTTAATATCACAGGCCTGGAATACACTAATCTTTTTGAGGCGTCATCTCTACTAAACATTAACATTGTGAAGACAAATTACAGGTACCATACTCTCAGAGAAGGTGAAAAGGTTGCCCAAAGAGAAGAGTGCCATGAATCCCAATCGCGAAACTTCAAAAAGGATCGTTTCAAAAATGACCCTGACGTTCGCAAAAATTAGACAGTTATTGTGTCGCAGAACTTACTTTGCAATGGCCATTTCGTAGTTGAATACGTGTGTGCAATTGAGCGGGCAACAACCTGACGACATGAAATATGAAATCAGTATCAAAGTTCCTCAAATAAGCACTAACGCAGTTTAAATGACACCTTAATAATAGCGTCTTGGCAGAGACAATTTTCAAAGGAAAATGAAAAATTTCCAACTTTCTCCTTCACAGGTGGCCAACAACTTAGAAAGTGCGTTTATTTTTGTGTTGGAGAAGTGCAGTAAAATTCAATTGAGGAGTAAACATTCAACTAAGCGTCGATGGTATTCGGGAATTACTTTGGTTTCGCTTTACTTCGCTCCGTGATTGGTCCAGAAAACTCGCGCCACCTTATAAACCAATCAGGGACACACTAAATCAAGTCGCAATTTTGTCACGCTCGGTAATCCGTGCTTCGGAAAGGTTGCTTGTACTCGTTCGTCCCTTATGATTTTCCCCTCAGCTTTGATTTGCCATTCTGATTATTTTGAAGTTGGTTTAACAAAACTCGATTACAAAGCGCTTCAACAAGAACTCACCTCCAACCTTACTACATCCTGAAAATGGAAGGGAAAAAAAAGACAACCAGAAACGTTAATATATAGATTTAATTCAATATATACATTCAATCAAGTTCAAAGATTCAATCTCGTAATGTACTGGCAAACGCTTCGACCTCTCCAAAATTTAAATTCAATTTTGCATACTGTAAAACGGAGCTGAGAGTTTCCAGAATCACTTCCCCTAACAAGAACCTAGCTTGCGAGAAGGCCATAGTTATTTTAGCGTTGCAGGACGCGCGTTCCTCCATCCACAGGAATATATGAGACGAGTCGAGGAGAGGTTTACCGGGGGTCTGTTACTATTATCAGTGCCAGACCCCTTACAGACCTGTCGCCGGCTCGCGTTGCTCAAGGCCTGTCACTTTTCCACGGGTGGAGGGAGGCTCGCGCCCAAGCTCTCATAATGAGGCCTGCTCGCGGGCCAACAAGAACCATTATTGCATTTTCACCCTGGCCACGTGATAACATGATAGTTTTATAACCGTATTCATCCCTTAAAACTTCAAGTGTCTGATAAGTCTTTCTTCTTCATTATTGCTTTACATCTCATAAAAAATTAGCTTAGCGAGTTTGGTTTTACACCCAAACTGAAACGTTTAATCCCATATTCTCATCACCAGCATGCAGGATAATGTATCAGCGTTGTATGAGGAAGTTAGATGTTAATCATTTGTACCTTCAAATCCATAAAGATTGCCATCAGCCAACCACATACACGTGGGGGATCTAACAGAAAAATATTTCATCTCTCGTTAAATCTGATGAACGTAATGACTCGATTCAGCGCCCGGGCGCTTATTCACTTTTGGTACATCAAGGGAGGGCACTTGTACGGAAAAGGGTGCTTATTTCAGTCTTTCTTGAGAA